ATACTATATGGAGACCTGAATGCCCCTTCCACTATATGGGGATATAATAACACTGATACTGTAGGCAGAATATTTGAAGATTTCCTTAACTCAAACCCTGCACAATATATTCGAAATGAGACAAAACGTCCAACTTTTCTTTCTTTCACTGGCAGTACTTCCTGCCCTGATGTTGTATTGGCGCACACCTCAATCTCTGATAACATAAAACATACCCTACTACCAGCTATAGCAGGTTTCGGACACAATAACCTTGTGGTTAACTTTAACCTGAATCAAAATAATAATAGCAAGACCAAAGAACCGCAACTGCCACGATGGAATTTAAAGAAAGGAGACTGGAAGCTTTTCAGAAAATTGACAGATGAACTCATCACTGATAAATTAATCATAAACGGCAACGTAGATAAAACATATACTAATATAAAAGGAAATTTATATAGGTGTGCCCTGAAGACTATTCCCCGAGGAACGGTACGAAAATATCGTCCTTTCTGGAATGAAGAACTGCAAAAGCTAAAAGAAGAAAGAGATGATTTTAGAAAAAGAGCTGAGAGCTCCAAAAATCATGCAATTATAAGTTTACTTAAAAGGAAAACAGCTATATTTAAAAGAAAAGTTATTTCAGCTAAACAAAACTCATTTAGAACGTTCCTACAGAAAATGGACTTTAGAAAAGATGGAGTTAAGGCACATGAATTTCTTTCAAAAATAAATAATAAATCAAACTTAGCAAACCATCCAATAACTTTCGATGGGAAAACAATAAGCAAGCTAAAAGAAATAGCTAACTCCTTCTGCAAACACTATTCAAAAGTAAGCAATTACAAGCCAAAAAAAGAAAACGGAAATCCAGTCACAAACTCCACACATTGTTGTGTAATGAGTGAAGAAGATTATACACTATTCTGGGGAGATATCCAAACGCAAGAACTAAATGATGCTCTTACTAAATCTAAGAAAGGTAAAACCGCAGGCCCAGATGACATACTGTCGGAATTTCTTATACACCTGGGGGATATGGCCAAAGAAACAGTACTAAAATTTTTAAATGATGTCTGGAAAACACATATTCCGTGTGAATGGAGGAAAGCAGAAGTGGTACCAATCTTGAAGAGAGGAAAAAAAGGAGACATGCCGGAAAATTTCAGACCCATTGCATTAACAAGTACTTTCTCCAAGCTCTACGAGAGAATCGTTGCAGAAAGACTTGAGAAATGCATAGAGAAATATGATCTAATATCTTCTAAACAAGCTGGCTTCAAGAAAAATCGAAACATAATTGAACAAGTAGCTCGTCTAACACAAGAAATAAAAAACGGCTTCCAAAGAAAACAGAGCACCCTAGCAATATTCGTAGATTTTAAGACGGCATATGATAGAGTTTGGAGAAAGAAGCTAGTGAGTAAGCTTGTTGACAAGGGAGTCACAGGATATCTGCTCAAGACTATATCTTCTTTCTTACATCAAAGGTTTATAAGGGTGCGATATAAAAACGTTGTCTCGACATATCGCCAAACAAAACAAGGCCTCCCACAAGGCTCGGTGCTGAGTCCCTTCCTGTTTAACATCATGATTGATGATATCACGGAACTCACTGAAACTATTCCGGGTACAAATGCCCTGCTGTACGCAGATGACCTCGTCATTTGGGCAACAAGTAGTGACTTTAAAGGGCTAGAAAATCACATGCAACATGTACTTAAATTACTAGAGAAGTGGGCCAATGAAAACGAGATGATCGTTAATTCCGAAAAGACGGAATTCCAACTTTTTACCCTCTCTACCAAATCACACCATATCAATTTGAACCATAATAACGAAGAGCTCAAACGCACAGAAGAAGCTACATATCTTGGAGTGAAATTGGATAAAAGACTCTCTTGGAATAAGCACATTGAAAAACAAATAGAACAGGCTTCAAAACGACTTTCGTTAATACAGAGGTTAGGTGGCTCAAAATGGGGAGCAACGGGGGATGTTATGGCTCTTACCTACAAGACATATGTCCGCCCTGTTATTGAATATGGAGCAGAACTTGTTATCACTGCTTCGGACGCGATATTACACAAGCTCGACATAATCCAGAATCAAGCCCTTAGACTCGTGACAGGAGGGAGCAGATCAACCCCAATATCTGCGCTAGAATTACAAACAGGCATAGTACCTCTTGAGACACACCGGGAGCAACTGGCCATTACGCTCTATGAAAGGCTAAAACGTCTTAAGATCAACTACTGGAGTACCTATGAACCCGCACCTGAACGCCTTAAAACTCAAATTACTTTTACTAAGGCAGTGGAAGATTTGATAGAAAGAAAAGGACTAGAATTAGCTGAAAGGGAGCCACTCCCGTCATTGACACAAGTTCCATTCACCAGCCAATTTGTTGTTCACTGTGATCTTCTTCAGAATGTTTCTAAGGATACAACACCAATTTACAAACAAAAGGCTATAACCCTAGAAACCATCGGAAAACGATTTCCAGAGACAGAATGGCTCCATGTATATACAGATGGTTCTGCACTGGAAGCACGCAAACATGCAGGAGCTGGTGTTTATTCAAAGGAGTTTCAACTTGCCGCCCCGGTCGGAAAGGTAGCCACAAGCTTTGAAGGGGAAGTGAAAGCCATTCTCTTAGGCCTTGAGATGTTAACTGAACGGAAAGACAAGAAAGTGGCTTTCTTTGTTGACTCACAGGCAGCCATTTTGTCCCTAAAAAATGGATATAGTATAAATCCAAATGTTCCTAAATGCCATCAATATTTGAACCAATTAAAGGAAAATGGGACAGAAGTCGCTTTCCAGTGGATACCAGGACATTGCGGGCTCCACGGAAATGATGAAGCTGATAAACTGGCCAGAATAGGTTCTGGAATGATCCAACCCGATATTCCTCTGACCATGGATTCAACAAAAAGAATCATAAAGAAGACCCTCCAAAGTTCACTGAAAGCGAAATATGTACAAATAATTGAAGGGAAACAATGGAGTGGATTGCTGGAAGAAAGTGACAGGTTTCCTAGAGACCTCCCTAGAGGGCAAGCCGTGGCATGCTTTAGAATGCTTACAGGCCACGATTTCCTTCAAAAGCACCTCCACCGCATCGGTGTAAAAGATAGCCCGACATGCCCTCTATGTTCCTTACACATAATGACAGGAGAACATCTGGATACATGCCCTGCATTACAGGACATAAGATGTTCCTTTAATGAAATGGACAGCTATTATACACGGAGAGCAAAGTTGTACTGGACTGCAAGAGCACGCATGGCTAACGAAGCAGGCGTTACTTAGGCGTAGGAAAAAAAAAAAAAAAAAAAAAAAAAAAAAAAAAAAAAAAACTTTGATTCTATGAAATTTTCTTCTTGAGATCTCATTTCCAAGCTGCAGAGCTATTTATAGTAATTTGTCTCAGTTCTTGAAAAATTTCCTAAAAATCAGCGTTCGTTGACCGTGGTTTTCTACCATTCCATCTTACTAAATTATTAAGATTAGATAATCAACCAACGCACATTTTAACGTTCTTTAACTTCTTAAAGAGCAGTTTTTCCGGTTCGATGCACCGTTTAGGAGTTATAGGTGAAAAATAAAAAAAAGGAACGAGAAAATCTAGCTTTTTTGCCCGTAAAAAAATTTGTCTTGGTGACCCGCGTTAGCAATTTTGTTTTTTACATATCTCAACCAATATATACAAGTTGAAAAAAAATAAAAACTTTTCCCACATTTTTCCCCAATATATCTCCTCTTTTGGTCCTCAAGTTACTGGCCTAATATTCTTTAAATCAGCCGCTATTTTTAAAAGCAGTGGCTCTGAAAAAACAGACAAGGTTTATTTTAGTTATGATTGCATTGTATCTATGTTTTTAAAATATTTTGCGTAAGTTTCCGTGCAAGTTCGTTTAATTTTCATATATTTTTAGTGTTTTAAATTTCTTTTGAAATAGGTAGAAACTTCTTGTCAATGAACATACCAGATACTTTTCTGATAATTAGGATGTGTCATAGACGTTCAAATTTGGCTCCATTTCTATACCATTATTTGTTAGTTCTCAATATGTATTTATTTGTTTATGCAATCAAATCATATCGTATTCGTTTAAATTTAAAATAATATAAAATAATGTTAGATTCTGTAATAGTATACTTTGTATTAATAAATTTAATTTGAGTTGTATAGAACTCATATCATAAAATTAATAAAGTTACTGCGACGATTCTTTATTGTTTTGTAAACTTTTAATATTTGAATTTAAATATTTTTACTATTCTTATAATTTATTTTTACAAAACAACAATATTTTAAGAAATGGAAATTCGTTAAAAGTGAGAAAAAAATTTAAATATCAAGTATTCATATTAGCTCGAAGAATTGGCGCCTTCTATACTTGAATGTTTCTATTTATCCCTATTGTTGTGTTAATGCTTTGTGCTAAGGAGGATAGCGCAAGGTAAAGTATTTATTATTTCTCTTAGACATTTCTTTAAGCTTAATTATGAACGTTTCATGTGAATAATTTGATGTGGGAATCGTTTAACTGGTATCTGTAAGTATAATTATTATCAGTTTTTAACGTCTATTTTGATTTCTGGCTTGCATTTAATCTTATTAAAATCTTCGTTCATTCCAAACTGTGTAAGTTTGATGTTACAAATATTAAGGGTTTTGATGTATTAAAAGTTCCCCAATTTGAAAACATTTTATTTATAAATACCAGTGAAGCATATTAAATGTTAAGAGTCAAATAACTGTTGACATTTAATTTGAAGGATTGTATCCGTTTAAGGATCACGTTAATTTGTTGTTTAGGAATGTTTAATTAAATGTTAGGGTTGTATTTACAAATTAACATGATATTAATTTTAAGTATATTGTAAAAAGTTCTTGATGGTAAATTCATCCTAATTGTTTCATTGGTTTCTAATTATTGTTTATTTTACTTATGTCTCATTTTATAAATTCTATTTGCATCTTAACTTTTCAGAATATATCTTTAGAAATGGATGTTATGGTAACTCCTAAAAGGGTCCGGCGGGTAAGCATGCCTGCCAGGGTTTCCTCACGGAGGAAATCTCTGTTTGGACAAGGCATTGACAGCCCCGAAATGTCTCCAGAGACTTATTCGCCGCCTTTGACATCTCCTTCTTCATGGTCTGAATCTCCGACAAGAACCCCTGTTAAGACACCAATCAAGTAAGATATTTTCATTTGTATTTATTCGATCTTTTCTTAATTATGTATTAAAGGGATTGATCATGTATCTACTATAATGTGATTGTAATCTTTTGCAATTCTTGAATTAGGTTTTTAATTTGCTGTATTTTGTCACTATCTATAAATCCATTATTATTAAAAATGATATAAAATTAGATATTAGTTTGGTAGGAGGGAGGTTTAGTGGTCGATGACAAATCATATTTTACCAGATAACAATCAATAAGGATGAACAATAAAAACAGCATAATTAAAGTAAAAACAAAGATAACAGTTTTTAACGGTAATATTAAGTCAAATATGCATGTATGATGCAGAGGACCCACTTGGACCAACCGCCCCAGGCTTTTAAAAAAATGTAAACGTAACTGAATTGTTAGGAAATATTGGACTAGACTACCTGGCCTGGCCGTTCCGCTGAGGCAAATCGTTTAACATCAGTAGCTGACTAAGAGAAGATGTCTCGTTTTTTAAAAATGTGTTTATCTACTATCCTTCATGTATATCTCTAATTATCATTTTCTTCTCGTTTTAACTCACAATTTCTTGTGATAATTCTAAGAAGACTACCTATTCAGTTACATATGAATTTTAGCCTTAAACTGGGCTGAAGTGTTCTAAGTGGACGCCCTACAATCATAAATGAATGCAAACGTAAATAATTTCATTATTTTTATCAGTACTAGTTCACAAGAGTTCCGGACGGATAACACATGGTTCACAATCACTTCGGTCACACTTGTTCCTGGAATCCCGAATGCGTTCGGGTTTATCCGAAAGATAACGAAGGCGAACGATCTCTTGGGCCAGTTACTATTAACTTTCCCGCCATTTAATAAGTACTTCTATATCCTTAACCATGTTCAGTTCTATAGCAGGAGCCGACTTACATTCTAAATTAAGGTTTTCACATCATGAAATCTGAATTGAACTTGTACATATATCATAGATCTGTAAAAAAGAAACAGTAATATATAAAAACCTTTAATTATTACATCTCTGAATGCTATTTCACGATATTATTTTTCTTATTGATGATTTTCATTATTCATTATCTTGGAATTATCATTATATTCATAAATCTTTAATCTGACATTATTTTCATAAAAAGCATCTTTGACATCTTAATAGTGGACTCTTACATCTTAGAAATACAAAAAATCGACGAACAATTTTAAATCCAACAGTATATTCATAAAAAGCTCCGACGACTAGAAAATAGTGGATCCGTATATCTAAGAATTCAAAAAAGTTACATAAACTTGATGCTTAATCTCAAATCTGACAGTATATGCATACAAAGCGCTCCCCTCCCCCCACTAGAAAATAGTTGATGCTCGTATTATTAGAAATCCAAAAAATTACATAAACTATATAGATGACAAACTAAACTAAAAAAGGCTTGCTAAAATAAATTATAAATGCAATTATTCCAACTTCGATTGAAAAACTCGAACAACAAATAAAAAGATAATAGATTACTTCAAATTATTTATTATGAAAATGATAAAAAAATCTTAACAGGCCTTGAAGAAACGACTCAAACATTATTTTATGTATTTTTTTCTTTTTACTTCACAATGATAACCATTATAATAAAAATTAATAATTGACTAATTAGTAAATACACAATTTGTTTATAAATTGTTAGTAAGGAAGTTCCATGAGGGGAATTCGTTGGTTTTTTTTTTTCAAAAATGCATGAAAAGAGGTTGTGTGATGGGGAAATAGCTGACGTCATAAAAGACGACAACATTCGGCTGTTTTCGGGATTCCATGAACAAGTGTGATCGAAGTGATTGTGAACCACGCGTAATCCGTGCGGAACTGTTGTGAACTAGTACCTTTTTATCTTTATAAGTTTGAATTGAAAAAATATGTTCATAATTTTTTTTTTAAAACCTTGGTTAGGTGAATATGATTTTATTAGCTTAAAATTAATAAATATAGAGTTTTTAGTAAATATTGATTTTTTAAAAATTAAATGCGTTATCTAATTCTATATGTTGTTTACTTTTCATCTAGATTTATATTTATCATAGTTGTTAAAAAGAATTGTTTTTCGCTTGTTATAACATCCTGTTACTAATCCTTATTCTGAGACAAGTGTGAGACTTAGATAAGTGTCAGTATTAATAATATAAATTAAACAGAAACAATTTTTTGTATGCTCAAGGTGTTATATAGTATTTAATTTTGAAGTTTATCAATAATCTGGCTTGTATCTCGTAGTTTATTTAGTATGATTATGGCTTATTTTTCTTTTCTTTTTTATTCATCTAGTTATCGATCTTATTAATTGGTTATTTTTGATAGGTCATTACAAGATGGTTTAACCCAACTTAACCTTGATCAAACTATGGAGCATCGTATCGGTGTTATCACAATTCAGACAACACCGACTATGAATGGTGTGAAACCGCTGAGTCCTGATAGAGGTATCGTTACGCCCAAAACATTCTATGGAAAGTCAACTTCACTGGATCCTAATAGAAACTTATATGATACTGTTAAGGAGAGGTATGTTTTTTTATTTACTACAATTATTTGAATATGGAACAATTTTCCTGCTTTGTTTTAATCTATGTACTTATGTTATCCTGAATGTATGTGTTGATCTTTATCTTTTTTTTTTTTTTGGAATAGAGATTAACACTTTTTTAACCAGAGGGACTATAGATAACATTTTAATTTACAATTATAATTCAGTTGTCTCATTCAAAAACAAACAAATCTCTATTTCAAATAGTACCAGTTCTTCGAACACTCATCAAGAAATAATTGTCTCATGAAAAATTAAAATATACTTTTAATTATGAAGCGAGGGAATTACATATAACAAAAATGGTAAACTTATTAATTGAAGTATAAAATAAACTTAATCTTAATTAAAAATCTATACAAGATTAAAAACAAAAGGAATGTATCAACTTAAAAACTGCATAAAATACAACATAAATCGCACTGGTTTAAGAACACATAAGAGAAGATAACCACAAACATTGACAGTGTAAAAATACTTGGTAAAGAAAAAATAAAATAAAAAGACGAATAAAAGAAAATCTATATATTTAAAAACTTATAGAATAAGCATTGAATATAAAAGAAGATTTGAGATTCATTCATGACATTTGAAATCAAACCATAGAACAACATTTAAATTCCTACCCCCATACCTACAACCCTATTTGTTACCATAGTCCTTCTAGTTGGAAATCAAGCATTGTACCTTATATCGACCTCCATCTTTTTTTGTGGGAATAAAATGTAGATAACTTATATTTTTTAACAAATTTTTGTAAAATAATTTATATTTATTTGAAAAAGTTGTTTTATGTGTTCTATATTTTAGTTAGTAATGTCTAGTTTCTATATTGAACCTAAAATATGTCGGTGTATTTTTTTAGATTGCTCAAGATATGGACAGATTTCCCCGGCTATGTACAATTAATAATTATCAAAAGTTCATTTTGATTTTTATTATACTGACCTTTGAGATTTATACTTGCATGTGAATAGGCACATAAACTTTCTTTTTAAACCTTAAATAATAATAGTGGGACAATCAATAACTCTATTCTAATGTTTTATGTTATCAGTCTATTCCAACGTTTGCTGCTTTCCATACGTACATCCAAGAAATATCTTTCAATTTTTTTTTCTCTTACTTTATTCTCTCTGAATAAAATTATTTAGTTTAAAATGTATTTTATTTGCTTTATAAATGTATGTTTATTAAGTAGGACTAAAAGACAAGACATTTTGATAGCATCTTATTTTGCAAACATTACTGTGCATGGTCTTAGATCACACCCCCAAGTCGCAACCATATCTCCAAGATACACTGTTAATTTCAAGTTTTTAGTTAAATTTGGACTTTTTTTTATTATTTAAAAAATACAAAACAATCTTGTATATGACACTTTTGAATTATATTACATCTAAAATTAAGTCGATTTTTTATCTTGCAAGTATCTGTGAGGAACATAGCTAAGGAAATTTTTGGCTTGTGTTGCCATAATTATTATAGTTATTAACTTCTCCATTGGACATTTAGAATCTCTAGGGTCTTCTTTTTCTATCTAACACTTTAACATTGAAAACATATTGAGTTATGCAGGTATAATCACCATTTAAAAAAAAAACACCTTTTTACACTAGTGATAGATACCCACGAAATTTTATTTTTCTAATAATGGACAGGAGGTCTGGTCTGTACCAGTAATGGACATACCTTACAAAATATCTAAAATCTTTATTTAACTATAAAGATAAGATCACTTAAATGTTCTACTTATTAAGCGGATCCTACACGGTAATTCATGAATGAATGTCACAAGAATGGCAAAGTTTGCTCGGAATCGCTGTGATCATGAAGACCCTTACTCGTCCAATCATTAGTTATCATTGCTGAAGCCAATTTAGCTCAGTTGTAAACAAAGAAACAGTGTAGATATGCTTATTTGGACATTGTCATGTATAATATTGGGCATCAAGAGAAAAATGGAGATATAATAATTACTTCCTAGTGCCTGAAAATCGTTCAGACCAAAGTTAGAAAAATATAAGTCAACTACATACAAAAATTAAGGAAAGGTATTGCGAAAATAATAAATTTTTTGAGGAAAATGGGAAAAGAACTGACAAATATACACAACAGTTAAAGATTATTTTTTTTCTTGAAGTAAATGGTGCAGTTTCCACTTTTTCTTTTAATTTGTTGCCCACTTGACTGTTTAAAAAAAATAGTTGAAGACGGTTTATAAAATATAAACAAGGAAGCTTATTATTTAAATTTAAATTCCAGCATGTTTATCACTGGGTCCCCTTGTCCATAACTGGTTTGGTACCCAATTTTATGATTTAATTTTTTTGTTGTAATAATTACAATTTTAGGACTAAATATTTGTTTAATATTATAGGATTAATGAAATGTATTTATTTTATCATTTAGGGTGAGGAGAACGATCGTATTCGCACCTCGGGCAAATCAGCCATTTAAGATGAAGAAGAGATCCAGGTCAACTGATACGGGAGTTAAGCGACGACCTGCTAAAACACCTAGGTTATTAAGCCCCACCTCAAAACCTTTCTTCAAAGTCAAAAAGATAAAATCAGCTGAAAAGAAGGTTGAACGACCCAAAATTGAAAAGAAAGTTGAACCTAAGAAAACTGATAGCGGGAAAAAAACAGATTCTAAAAAATCTAAGCAGGTATATAACTGGCAGTTCTTCAATTCCACTACTCCAACCTCAAAGGTGTCTTCACTTTTTAAAGAAAAGAGGTAAGCTTTTTAATTATTTATTTTAATTTTAATCACATCTTCTACTTTACCAATTCATTATAGTAACTAAATGTGTAGTAGACATCCCCCTGTATTTACTCCTTTATGTGAAAATGGGTGAGGGAATGAGAAGGAATATATAGGAATGTGAGGTTGCACTATGAATTGTACTCAATTATGCAGTGGACAAATTATACATGGAAAAGTCTCATATCGATAAACAATCGATGAAGAAGAACGCCGAGAAGAGGCACTTGAGGCCTGGACACGAAGACGAGAACGTGTCATCTGGGAAGAGAGGCTTACTATATTGAAGACTAAGAATATCAAGCCTACGGTTATAAGACTTTTATACATTAATTTATTGTATATTTACATTAATTTATGTCCTATATGCCTCACGATTGAAGAATAACAAATCAGGTGAGTCAATTCATTCAAAGTGTATTTACTAAGTCCCACATTTCATATTTATATTCTTATTGTTTCTTCTCACTCAGTGTCACAAAAGGTATTAGATTCCCGAATTTCAAACAACAGCTAAACACCCTCAAAAAGTCGATATCCAGTGCCAGGGTTTTGTTTTAATATACACGAGTGTAAATAACCTAGTTCCCCGATATAAAAACTTCACTGTGAACTTCACTAGGGATATTACAATATCTTCCTGCTCTTAATGCCACTGACCGCATCTATTATTTTTTTAATATTTTTTATTTGTATATAATTAAATCTGTACCTATAGCTAGCTATTGACGATGAGTCTACATATTAATAATTATTTAAATACACTGACATTTTATTACAGCTTTGTCTTTTCTTTGTTAGCAAAAACACACCTCATTTTAAAGAAGAACTCAATGTATTTTTTATTATTTTATTTTTCAAAAGAGTATAATTATAATTTTTCCTACTGTACATAGTCTTAAGTGTTTTATTATAGTTTTAAGTGTTTTTTTTTTTTTTTTTGTATATAGCTTGTTTAACTAATATTTTGGCCAGAGGTAGTATTTTAATTATGTTCTATTTTGTTATTCTAAAGGGACTTTGTCCCAGAATAAAGTTATTTTCTATTTCTAAAAGAGGAAGGCTATTTGCCAATTCCTGCCTAAAACTAATTATTTACATTTAACTCTAATTAGGTTATTTACAAATATATTGAATACTTAATGGTTGACCTTTTTATTTAGGATGGAGATGGTCCGGGGTAGTCATAAATAGTTTTGCCATTATTTAGTCTATTTATGACTGCCACCCCGGACCATCTTCCTTAAATGTATATATATTTTTTCATTATTGTTACAATTATGAATATATTAGTTGCTTTTATAAGGGTATATGGAATGTAGCTATAAAAGTAACAAGATTGACCATTTTCCAATATTCATGGGATCACGCTTCTTTACTCGGCTCTTAAAGGTCAAACTATTATTTAATATCACTATATTCACATTTTTGCTGAATTTCTTGAAAAATAAGGAAAAATAATTAGCGAACTTTTGGAAGGACAAGTCTTAGGTTATAGGGTCATAGTTATTTCTGCATTGTCTTTCAAGAGGTTTCTAGTCAAGTACAACATATCAGTGCTAGATAGATCATCTTCCTTATTCACCGGATGTTGCTCCATGAAACTTTTATCTGTTTCTTAAAGTGAAATCTGTATTAAAAGCAGTGAGATTTAAGCCTGTTGAATCTAAGAAAGAGAAAGAAGGACGAGTTCTGAAGGAGCTTAGGAAATACATAGGAGGCTATGAAAAACATATAATAATTAATTGTCTGAAATCCAGTTCTCTTTGTCTGAAAATTCTTATTTCTGCCAAGAAGAGTGTTGTAAGTGAAAGTTGTGTGATGTGTGCACAGCACCAGATTTTTAAATTTTTAATAATAATTAAATTACTGTAATTCACTTCAAAGCTAGACATTCAGTGATACCGTGAGAATTCATGTAATAACAATAAATGTCTTTCTAACAAAACAGCTTATTCTAGTAGGTCACCTTTTTTATTTTCGTCCAATATTTCAGACAAGTTCTATTCCGAGAATATTTCCTATTTGTGTTTACTTACTTATTTTAATTCAAACCGTTGCTAATCACAAAATTATTTACTTTCATCATATTTTTTTTTTTAAATTATAAATTTAATATGGACAAGATAGTTAAATATAATGATAAATATGAGGAGTTGATTAGGGGTGCGGTCAAATTAATACTAAATTAAAGAAGTAGAATTATTTAATTTTTGTCGACGCCTCGACCCACCCTACAGGTCCTCACCAGGGCTACAAAAGATACAGAACATGGTGAAAATAAAATAAATGAATATAAGTAGATATAAAATAAGAATAAGTTGTCTGATACAGAAATAAAAAGATGATATCAGAGATATAGTGGGTGACAATGTAGTCAAAATATCAAGTATTATATCTAGAAGATACAAATTTCTCCATTTTTGTTTGTATCTTCTACATAAAATACTTGATAGTTTGACTACATTGTCACCCACTATATCTCTGATATCATCTTTTTATTTCTGTATCAGACAACTTATTCTTATTTTATATCTACTTATATTCATTTATTTTATTTTCACCATGTTCTGTATCTTTTGTAGCCCTGGTGAGGACCTGCATGGTGGGTCGAGGCGTCGACAAAAATTAAATAATTCTACTTTTTTAATTTAGTATTAATTTGACTGCACCTCCCAATCAACTCCTCATATTATATCAACGGTCAACCATCTCTACATCATAACGATAAATATTTTAACACACACAGATAAATATCTCTATATATAATAATAAAAGGCTTAACGAACCCGAAGGTTCGATGCCCTCATCACCTATCACTTTTTATACACCTGTCTCCACCCCTCGCCCAAATCCAGTCCCTTCAGATTGGCTTTAACGCAATCTTCCCACCTTTGCTTTCGTCTACCCCTCAGACGTTTATCATTCGCTACATCAAATATTAACCTTTTAGGAACTCTCTAGTTACTAAGCCCAACAATTTTACAAGCCCATTTGATTTGCCGCGATGTAATCACCTCAATTATATGTTGTTAGGTTACGTTTCCTTTGAAAAGTAAACAAAACAGTTTCTGAATATTTATATTTATTTTACACAATAATTATTTCTCGGTTGGGTTGAGACAATTAACACACATTCCTCGAATATATAATACAAAGGCATAAATTAATTTTATATAACAGATTTATGAATTTCCATTCTTTTGTCGGGGTCTACTCTTGGCGCGCTTTTAAACTGTCACTATTTATATTTCACTCGCCCTGTTCTACAGTGAATCCTCCTCTATATTGTTGTATTCAACTAATACAATCTTCTATTTTCCTTTGTTGACACTCACTACTTGTTAGTCACTTTTTCTTCACTCGATTACTAGCCTGCTGGCTAGCTTCTCTCTTGACATATGACACTTGCTTCCCCTTCTGTCTGTCATTGTCCATTTTTGACAGTAGCTTGTGATGTCACTGTCTTCGTGCCATTATTTCAAATCACTATGTAATATTTACAGTACATTATTAACCAAATATAGTTCACGCAGTTCGGTGTTGTGTAACCCTCTGAACTCTCCAGTTAACTCATCCTTCTTCGGTTCGAATATTCTACGTAATAGTTTATTTTCAAAAACCTTAAAATGTTGCTCATCTCTTAATGTAAGTAAGCAGCCATGTTTCGCATCCATAAAAAGCTATAGGTAAGATAATGGTTTTATACACTCTAGTTTTTAAGTTCTGGGACAAGAGGTGCGAGCTAAGTAGTTTTGTCAAAGAAAAATAACCAACATTTCCCGACCTCAGCCTAACCTTAATCTCCTCTTCAATTTCGTTTTTTTAAAATTATCGTAGACTCTTGATACATTAAGTCCTCTACGTGTTTGAACATATTACCTTCTATATCGATATCACCGGCAATATCGCCATTTTTGCAGATAACCATATATTTTGTCTCATCTGTGTTTATTTCGGGCCCTAGTTCTTTATTGGCTTTCATTTAAATTATCATATTTAGTTTGACAGTTTCCCTGTCCTCGCTTGACAGGACTGTATCATTTGTGTGTGTGTATATATATATATATATATATATATATATATATATATATATATATATAGAGAGAGAGAGAGAGAGAGAGAGAGAGAGAGATCATCTAAGCCAGCTCAAAAATGTACAATTTGAGGCAAAAAGAAAAATCAAAATCTTGCAATTTAGGTCAAAAATAGCAAAACATGCAATATCAAATTTCAATATGTTATTCCACAGATTGTGAAACGAATAGATAACCGGGTTTGAAGTTTTTACACTAAATCGAATGAAATGTGCTATAATATGGAATCCTGTTTCAAGTTATAATGAAGTTTGTTAATATAATGCAATATTTTTGTTGATAGTTATCTGCATTATTACAGAAGTCTTTATCATTTTAGCTCATCATTGATGACGCCTCCTCCCTCGTCAAAGAAGAGGAAACTCATCTCTCCCTATGACATGGATCACCTCAAATTGATCGAGGATTCAGTTATGATATCTGATAATTCGAACGATTCAGCAGAAGTACTACCCCAAGCAAAGAGGCGACCTCTCATTGACTTTAATAAATCAGCTACTCAAGTAGTAATTCGACATCATAGCGAAGCGTACGGAGAGAATATTGCTGATGAAATAGCCGAAGACTTTTCAGAAAATGAAGAGGAAGAAGTGGACAAAGGAGAAATTGATGTTGAGGAAATAATCGAAGAATTGAATAAGGATGTTGCGGAAGTTTTAGATGGTAATTATTTCATTATTTTGTTTTTTCATCTCCTATTATATTTTCTTGCCTGCCTTTATGTTCCATGGTTTACAGACTTTTTTTTCGCACTGTTCATAAATGTGTCTTGGAGTTTCTGAAATACTTTACATACTTTGTGAATTTATTTATTTATTTAAGTTACATATTAACTATTTAGCGATAATGAACGGTTGAGAAGCCAACATTTCTCGGTGTCTCTATAACAGAATACTTTTTACCACCTCTACTGATCACTTAATAATAATAATAATTCTTTATTCATTCTGGGACAAGTCTCTTCAGAATAATACAGAAGTGTTTACTAAGGAGCCTTAGAGATAAATAATATTAACAGTCATAATAAAAGATATCAGTTATTTTCTGAATTTAATCAATCAACAAATAAAATTTTAAAAATAATTAAGAATGATCCTGATAATTTATATAAATATTTACAGTAATATCTATTTACAATTTTATAGGGACTGGATGGATAAAAAATGGTTATACAGGCAGGATTTAAAGGTAGAGAGGGTATTGGATGTAGGAAGGATGGAGTTCCACAGGGATAATGATCGGATAATGAATGATGTATCGAAAGCAGCAGTTCGGTGGGCCCTTATATACAAATCAAAAGACCGAGAACGTGTATTACGGGAGCGAAAAGAGGATTTGAATTGAATTGAAGGAGTTTGGAGAAGTTTGAAGGACGGCAGTATTAGATGACTTGAAAAAGGAATGATGCCAGGAAATACTTACGATGGTAGGAAGGATAAAGCCACTTCAACTCTTCATAAAAATGGGAAACAAAGGTGTATCTTGAGATTCCGAAGATGAATCGTACAAAGCAATTTGTGGAACATTTGAGTTTTGCTTCGAGATCCACATAGACCGTATACCGTGCAGCAATAGTCAAAGTGGAGAAATATTAAAGACATGACTAGGAGCCTACGGGTTTCAAATGGAAATAGGTGATGGAAGCAATTAAGATGTTTCAAGGTAGAAAAGGTGCGGCGGGAGACATTGGATACATGGTTTTCAAAGAAAAAGATTGATCGAAGGTTATTCCCAGGTTCTTAATGGTGGGATAAAATTTTATGGGATTATCATGTAAGAACAGTTTTAAGGAGATGATTGGAGCCTACTAGGATTGCCTTTGTCTTCTCTGCATTCAACTTCAACTTCTTGGATACTGCCGTCACAAATTCGATTTAAATCTTCTTGAAGTTTTTTGTTGCTGGCAATAGGTCAGAACGGCTCGAAAGACAGGTATATTTCGAAATCGTCTGCTTAGATGTGGTATTGGGAGTGATGGATCAGGAGAGGAAGTTCATTATAGCAAAGAGAATGGGGATAGAGAGGAACCTTTAGGGACACCACAGGAGAGGGAAAGTGTCTTAGAAGGACTTTGACCTGGGGGAACTACATACCGAGATCGGTCTGATGGTAGAAAGGATTTGAACCAAATGAGGGCACTCTATTGGATAGACGAAGATTTTGCAATTTAGTAAGGAAAATATTATGGTCGACTGTGTCAAACGCTTTGGAAAAATCTTAGGTGTTTTTATTTAAAGCATCTTTCCAAACTTCTTATTTATTTTTGTTATTTAACTTTTACATGATTGAAACGTATTTTTACAACATGGCCTATACAATTTCTTTTTTTATATAATATTAACTTTTAAACTTCTTTTTCTATACCATTGTGTGGCCTGAGTAATTTTCAGAAAGTGGAGAAAAAATCAAATTTTTACTTTACTGTTTCTCATAAACACTTATAGTGTTTATTAATTAAACTGTTTCTGATGATTTTATTTAAGAATGTTCAAGTCGTATCGTGAAAAAAAAATCATTAGAATTGATTTAAATTGAAGTGATGTTACAAAAATTGGCTTTTTCTAAACTTCTTAAAAATGCCAGATGTCCTTTGAAGTCAATCAATTGACCTATTTCACAATTAAATGAGTCAAAAACAAAACTTTTTCATGTTTCTGTCATGTTTTCTTTTTAAATAAAAGAAAAAATACTGAAATTTTGCTAGGGACAAATACAGGTATATAAGGTGACAAGAGAATGTGGGTCACAATGGTTAGATGCCGAGTTCATAAAATCCCCTTAATCTCCAGCTATAGAAAAATTACATACTGCCTCATAGATTGGCCGTGAGATAGTTTCAAAGTGTAATTCATCACTGAGCACTCCATGGTTTAACAAGAGTAAGTCTGACAGGGCGGTCCCATTTCAACTCTTATATAAGTCCACTGTTGCCTTGGTCAAGGTTCCTCTTCACTCTATATGAGTCCACGTTAAAGGATTAAGTACTATCAGAGGAAATCACCACAGTCTTAAGAGACCCTTTTACATGGTTAAGTTTCTTTAACAGAGTCGGAATTGTAGTTAACTTATTAATGTGCCAAGAAAATAACATAACTTATAATTTTACTTTAAATTTGTGTTCAGTATTGACTGTTATTAAATTCAAAGAATGAATTATCACTTCCATCAATTCAACTATGAATTGAGTGTCCTGTAATAATGGGAAATATTTAGAAAAATAATAGTAAACCTCAGGAGCAACAAATAATCATGGATCCATTCCATTATTTATTATTATAAAAAGAATATAATGAAATGCATCATTCCTAGAGTTAATAAATATTCGATCTCATTATGTAGTTCATTATTATACCTGTACCCCAGAGGTAAGGGACTAAATGTCCATTTTTGTATTTCTTCGGGGGAGCCATTTTTCCATAACTTTGAGCTATTAAAATTTGTTTCTTAGTTACTTAATTATTATTTAATAAATAAATGGACATCGTGTTCTTCACCTCGGGGGTACAAGACAAGTATAGTACCTGCTAGATATAAAAATTATATATATGTTTTGAGTCTCCATATAAAATAATAAATTGATAATTATTTTAACACTTTTTTTTTTTTTAGATGTAACAGAAGCTGAACTTAATGGAGAATCACAAAACCAATCCGAAGTGGAACAAAAACTGTTTCCTGTATTTAACGTGAAAGCATCAAAACCCTCAGGGGCTCATGAAAAGTAAGTTTTCTGTCCTTTTGATTAGTGATATTGGTTTTTACTTTCCTACCTATACTAAGTAAGGAAAGTATTGCAATCGGGTCAAATTTCCGACATGCGGTTTTTGACGGATCTATACGTTTCACAGCCCCCTGAGTCCGAAAAAAACATTTTTAGCCATTGGTCTGTCTGTCTGTGCCAAGATTCTCTCGGGAACTACTGAACAGATTTTGTTGCTTCTTTTTTTATTTTGTAGGGTTTTGACTACTGATGCCTGTGACAGAGATTCGTTGCTCCATGCTCAATAGCTTGTGCGCAATAAATGAAAAACATGTTTTTCTATAGACTGTAGCGCGGAAACGGCTCTAACGATTTTGATGAAACTTTTCTATGATGTTCTAATCATTGTCCTTTCATTTTTTGTATATAGACTAAATTCTCGAAAAAAATCAGGAAAAAAAGTTATAAAGAAAAGAAAAATGTTATGGGCCCTAACTCTCTAAGTATGTATTATAAGGTGAAATTTATAATAAAACTTTTAAAAGGTAATTAAATTACCTTAAAACACCATTAAGCCTATTGTTTGAAAGGTAATTAAATTCCCTACAAAGCCATATAAAAATCATTCATTTTGGACAACTATTAACGAAGTTACAGCTATTCAATTCCGAATGAAAGATTACGAGTTCATTTCCTGGTGTCAGGAATGGGTGAATGAGAGAATGAAGATGACTAGGTGAAAGTAAGAAAGTCTGTTGCCCGCATCACATAATCTTCACTATTTCCTCTATTTTAACAGAAATTATTGTTTGACAATACTAAGCTATGCCAAAAAGCTTTTGATTAGCAATTTCGTGTGTATTGAAATTTTTATACTGATCTACCTTAAGCCGGTTTCATTGCTTTAATTTATCAAATAAATCGTACTCAAATCTTTTGTTTGATCAATTTTCAGGAAAATAAATTTAGTTCAATTCTTTTTTGTTTCTTCATGAGCATATGTAAAGATATAAAAACTTTTCTGGAATAGGTAGGAAAGTCGTGTGAGTGGACACACCAGATATTTTATTTTTACACAGCTTAAGGGTGTTATAAATATTTGTTTCTCTAACTTCATTTTAACATTCTGTCAAAAACTGAATACTTTTATGAAACTCAGATGAAAAAGGACTCCTTTCATAGCCAATTTGATTACAGAGATGCGTATATAAAATAATAATGTTATTGTAAATTGTAACTGTCCCATTGCCTCCTTTATTTGATTTATACTTTTTAACACGTTTTCCCGCCGTTACTAAGAGGAGAAGTTTCTCTGCTATCAAATTTACTGAAAGAATCATTTTTCATTGAGGTCCTTAAAAATATAATTTTTGTATTAAATAATCGAGTGGAGTATATGTTAGTTCAATGAAACTTTTTAAGCCTATGAAAATATTAAATTATCATATTAGTTCCAATTAAAAGTCCAAGTTAACAAAGCCATTACGAAATTAAAACCATTAATCTAGAATTTTTAGATATAATATAAATATTATAAATTTCTCATAAAATACTTGCATTTTGGAAGCATAGAATTGATTAAGAATCAATCAATCAATCGGAATCATAGAATTAATTAAGAATCAATCAATCAGAATCATAGAATTAATTAAGAAGCATAGTAATATACTGGCTAAATATGATTTGCTTTGACAAGTCTTAAGGAAAAAAAATAAAAAATGAAAAATAAACCAAAGTTTTTAAGAATGATCAAGGGTGCCCAAAAGGGGAGGTTTCCATTTTGCTCCATCAAAATGTTTCATAAGGGCACATTTCTACGAGATTATGAATTTTCAGAGTGAAAAGTATCAAACCAGGGAACAACGGGTGGGGTAGCGGAGCATTTCCCGGCAACCCAGATTAAAAATAATTATGAGTTCGCGTCCTGGTGCCTAGGAGGGGAGGGGCTTTTAACTCTAGGATTAACCTCCCTCAGCTCCTGGCTCACGAAACTCCCATGTAACCTTAAAGCTGAGGAAGGGGAGGACCCTCCTCCAAAAAAACAAAAAAAAAAACAGGGAACACGAATATTTTTCTTTAAAGCCTTAGTCATTTACGTCAAACGATAACCAGTCTGAAACATCCTCATATCACACAGTAAATTTTTACTTTGATTTTCATGTTGTGGTGATTATTTTGTTTATGAGTTAGACTCTGTTTAAGATAAGTTTGAGGGTGGGTAGAGAGGGAAAGAGATGCGCAGTGGTATTATATATTTGTATTATTCTAAAGGGACTTGTTCCATAATAAATAAAGTATTATTATTATTATTATATTTATTTACATTTCATTGTGGATATTTTTATTTGTTTAATTACCCTTTATATACAAATTTTAATTCTTACATCGCTGTAATCTATAGAATTAAATATTAAATAATACAAACGATGGCATTTATGAAAACCACATATTTATATAATATTGTAGTCCGTATTATATTAACTTCATGTTAGGTATGGAAGCCTGTTCTAATCTTTTAGGTGAGCTCGGGCACACTCGTATTTCTTTGGTTCCTGCATTCGAACTATTATCCGTTACAATCTCCTATTTCTCCTACAGTTAATTATCAAATTCTTTTTATATTTTATTAATTTTTATTTCAAAGATTAATGTGTAATCGTTAATTATTTCATATAAAAAATTAAAGGTACTTTAGAGGAAGCTAATATTGAAAATTAGCCATTTAAGCCCTGTTAGAGAACATCAATGTTTTTGTGAAAATCATAAAAATGTGTAACATCGATTATATAAAGTGTCACTTCTTGTTAGCCTATTGATGAAAAACTTGCTGTAACATCTCAGGTATATAGAAACCTTAAATATGCAATTTTACTTTCATACGACTTTTCGTTTTTGAGCTAGACTGGTCACATACTTACACACAGACCATTTTGTGGGACTTGGTTATTTCGACTCAAGAGACTTGAAAACATGTATTTCTGTTGAAAATTCAGTTTTGAAAATTTTCACGATTGCAGTACTCTCCTTTACTATTTCTTTCATATATAGGTAAGTGAAAGTAAAAAATATATATTAAAAAAAAAACTTTTGTTTTATTAGAGTAGCCGATATGAAATCTACCGGTGGGCTGTTAAGGGCTGGCAGGGATAACAACCAACTAATACTCGATGTTGGCCAGAAGAACCTCCGAGAAGTAGTGTGTCCACAGTGTGGGCTCCTCTACGTCAAAGGAGATGCTGTCGACGAGGTGCATCACCACAAGTATCATTCCCAATACAGAGGCTTGCTTTTCCAGGTAGTTGCAGTTTTTATTAATTCTTCAAGATATTTTTTGAAAAATAAACCGAACCATCGTTTTGAAAAATATCTTCTTCTAACAACTTCACTAACTAGATTTACATGCTTAAATCAAATGCTTACACTTGAAATCATTATGTGTGGTTAGTGGTTTATGAAACCGCTAATTACTCACTATTTTAAAACAAAATGGCAAATGGTGGTGTAGAACACAAAGTATTATTTTGAGGTTACCTGTGGTGACTTCAGTGTCAAATCTGAAAAAATGAAATATAAAATTTTATCAGTAATTATGCAAGAAACCCTCAGACAGCAAATGGAAGGATTTATTTCTCCTGTTATCTTATTTCATTATGTTAATTTCAGTAGTCCTTAACTTTGTTGCTGTTATTATTTATTTCATAGTTCTATGTTATTGGTATTATTTTCTTCATAAGTTTCTAGCTTTGTTACAGTTATGTTATATACCCTAACTTTGCTTCTGCTATTTTCTATTCCTAATTTTGTCATAGTTATTTTATATTTTCTTTAAGTTTAATCTACTTTTTTTTTTTTAATGTTGGCCCTGGGCACGTCGACCCCTAATGGGTCCATTGTGCACCAATTTCAATTAATCCTTTTAATCTAAACGTTATTTTAGTCGCTTCCGCGTATCTAAGTAGGCTGGTTGGATTGACTGTCTCATATCTACTGGGGAGATCTACACACGACATGAAAGGCTGTTTCATTCTCCTCCTGACAGAATCTGCATAGCGGATTCGTCATTACTCGGAGATTGAACATATATTAATTTAGCTTACAATGACTTATATAGATTGCTGTAAGCTTTTTAAGAGCTGCTCTGTCCATACAGTAGCAGTTTGCTTCTTTTTTCACATGGACCTTTAAGGAACAGCTTTGAATGTCGCTGTTTCTTGTCGGTCCAGTAATTACTAAATTTGTTCCCATAAATCTCCCTGATCCTACCCTTGGCATTGTCGAGGCTGATTCCACAGACAGGCTCTGGAGTTACAGGAATGGTATCTGAGCCCAATCTGGCTAGTTCATCAGCCTCCTCGTTGCCTGGTATGCCCGAGTGACCAGGCTAATCTAATCTACTTACTTTATTTTACTCTAAGTTTATTCTACCTGCAGGTTTTTAGACTATACCTTTCACCTACATATTATTATTTTCAGTTATTTGGCAATAATAACTTCCAATTGGTAACAATTGAGTATATTTCTATTATCAACGTTACATGTTAACAAGTTAGTTGACGTTTCGGGATATTTATTCCCATCTTCAGAACTGCAATCCCAATACTCTTGTGGATGCAAGGCTAAAAAAAATTTTGAGTTATAATATTGTGCTTGTTACATTACATGTTTGAATTTTGTTGTTACAATAAATTTGTAATTACCTTAAAATTAATAATAATGTGCTCCATCGTCAAATTTCTTATTCATGTTATAAAATGTATCATCTAGAGCGACATCCTGCTTTTGACCAATAATTGGGTGTCTGCCATAGTGAAAAAATTGACCTTTGGATCTGACTGTTTTATCTGACTATTTTTATACTATTGTTGTTAATGTTTATTTTATGTATCTGTAATTTCACTTCTATTAAATTTTAATTTTGTTTAGTATGTCCGTATAATGAGTTCCTAAATGTTTAGTGTCTGTTTTGTAGTTGTCTGTTGTTCTATTGTTTTTTGTGATGTGTATTGCTTCAAGTAATTTCCTATTGGTGTTTTTTGGTTCTGTGCCTATTATCTGTGGTTTGTTAAAGTTAAATTTATACTGTGATGTGCTAAAGCTGTTGTGTTTTATGTTTTTTGTATTTTTACAGTTGGTGATGCAAGTTAACATGTAACGTTAATAATAGAAATATACTCAATTGTTACCAATTGGAAGTTATTATTGCCAAATAACTAAAAATAAATAGACTACTTCCCAGAAAAAAGAAGATTATTATTTTCTTTTTAGTGTTAATAGTTTCTTGTACCCATTGTTATTCGGTGTTTTCTTAGCCCTGATGAAGGCCTGAACTTTAGGCCGAAATGTCGGAAAAAATAAATATAATTTATGTATTTTGACTTAACACCCCAACCAATCTATTTAATTATTCACTACAGTTAACCATCAATCCACAACATACTGATCAGTCCTAATCTACAATGTTTAAAGAGCGAAAACATAATTGATAGAATTTTTCAGGACTATCATTCAAAGTACCCAATGTTATTTATTTTTCTATTGTTATACTCATTTTCTTCCTTCTCACGAATGTCAGTAGAACTCATAACGAACTGTCCAGAATAAATATATATGTAATGGTGCAGGATTCCCAACGAGTCCAAAACAATTGATTTCGCCATAGTCTGCATATCTCCCAATCTCCTCCTGAACAACTCACCTATCTTATTCCACACCACCGTTAAAAACCTAGGTGTTACTTTTGATCAAACCCTATCCTGGAAACCACACATTTCCCAAATTTCCCGTCGCACTATCTCCACCCTAAAACAGTTCATTTAGAATCATTAGAACTCATCGATCCTCCTATATTTTTCACAGCTTACAATTCAAATACTCCATCCGATCCCGTCCCACTAGATCTCGTACTTCCGATCTCTATCCTCCTCCTCACCGAACTGCTGCATTTGGCAAATCTTTTGCAATACAAGCCGCCTCCCTCCGGAATTCTATCCCTGCTAATATTCGACACGCTCAATCAGTTTCCTCTTTCAAACCTCTCCTCTTTAAACACCTACTCCTTTCTCAATCTGACTGATTGTGAAATATACTTAAGAGAAATATCTAAGCACTGCAAGAGACTACCTCAATTTATTTAGGTTATTACTACCTCAATTTATTTAGGTTATTTTAGTTTCTCATAATTATGTACAATTTTCTTATTCTTTTCTTTCTCTTTTCAGTATTTTTATCTTTAGTCAACTCTTATTGTAAATATACAATCTAATTGTAACCACACAGACATAAAATCTGTATTTATATTTTGTTCTAAACGGACAACAGTCCCAGAATAATAAAATATTTTTTCATTTCATTTCATATCGCTCCTTTCCACAACCAGTTTCTCCAAAAACACAGCAGTTGAAGGTGGAATCGTTCCTTTACTCCCTCGCTCCTAATAATTTATTTTGAAATTTAAAATTCTGATGAGGTTTAAAATGATTAATATATAAATATCTTATTCTTTCTTAGGGTTGGAAAAATCAAAGACTTACTGGAATCATTGGCTTGGATAAGATTATCTCCGTGAAAGGAGGTGATCCAAATCATTGGTGGCATAAAGTAAAGGACGTCCTCGAAATTGTCGACAGGGAGCTTGGCTTTCCTGAACAGTCTTCTCTTCATCCGGAAACGCAGGTGAAATACATTCATTTTTTTCAATGCCTTTATTAAAACAATATTTTATTTAGTTTTTGCATTATTGCGTAGATAAAGAACTTACGTTGGATAGAACGTTACATTAATTTCGTTTTACACGATCATGTTTCTTGACCAAAGTTTTATCCTAAAAATTGTAGTTTAGTGCTTTAGTTTTCAACCACCAGGGGAGATCACAGGCTGTAGACATAGTTAAAAAGAGTACGAACTTCCCAATAAAGTCAGAATTTTTAAAGTTAAATTATTTTTCCATTAAATATACCAGGAAAGTAACGTAGCCTTACCTTGCAATTTTAATTTAGATGTTGCTTTTTGATCAGTGTTTGTTATTTGTATTAAGAAAGTAAAGAATGCATTACCGTTTTTATTATTAAGGTGTGCCATAAGTTCCTATCGTTTTCTTTATTTGTTGAGACTTGTTTGCAAAATATTCATCGAGATGTTTTCACTTTCGGATTTGTGACATTCATCATGGAGAGAATTTTTTAACAAAAGGAACAAGTAAAAATCAGACTTGGCAAGGTCTAGGTAGTACAGAGTATGAGGTAAAAAATCCTCATCAAATTTTAAGAGTTTCTGTCTTACTGCCTTGAACGCATCTTGAATATTTTGCAAGAAAGTCTTAACAATTTTGGACAAAGGGCATATGAGGCTTAACAATTTTGGACAAAGGGCATATGAGGCTTCCTGAGAAATGTAAAAAGGTAATAGAGCTGAACGGTTCATATAGAACACTGTAGATCTACCTCAAACAACAAATGAGGGAAAAGGAATGAAGTTATGGGACACCCTAATAATTTAACTTGATATTTGGTGTCTCGCAAGTAACATAAAAGTTTATATAAGGAATGTAATGTCGTACTGAGATAGTCTATCTTTTATCACTTCAATCAATTTTAAAATTTGGTTATGGATCTACCCCAACATGTTTTTACTATAAAAAGAATATTATGAAATGCAGAGTGAAACTTAAAATAATACTGTAGAAAAATGGCAGAATACATAGCATGTTTTGAAGAATAGTATGTTTCCGGGACACAAGGAATTTTGCTATATTTTGGTTAAATATTTCCAAAGTGTTGGATCAATTTGTTACCACAACCTAAAAAAGCCTTTTACACAATTAATTTTCTCGACTAAAGTGGATTCATCCAAGAAATTGATAGAGTAACTTAACCCGACAAATGTATCACTTCAGCTGATTGACGATGTAGTTCGTTCTTCTGATCTGTAATTCTTTTACAACTGTTAATTAACCATTTTATGATATATTTAGCTAAATCAATTGAAACCATAACAAAAATATCCATAAAAATATAATTAATAGAAGTCAGTGCCGAAATGCATTCAGAAAAGAACTTTTTATTTGGAGTTATGGGAGGAAAATATTATGTAATGCTTATAAACGAATCATTTATTTTATACAACATTAAAAACAAAATGAACCTCAGTGAAGAACTTTTTGAAATAATCAATTGGCTCAAACACGTCTCTACAATCTTGTGTAGAACCGTAAACATTGTTGACACTGGAAACTTTTTCTGCACTTGAGGAGAGTCGATTCATTCAAAATCAATTTTACTTTTTATAATGCCGTTCTGGTTAAGCAATTCAAGACAAAGCGAAGATTCAGGTTCATCATAGAGTTTTCTATTTTTTTTTATTTGGTGGTGATAACAAAGTAATAAGTTAGTAAAAATGCTACTGTGTATGTAAGAGGAATAGATGAATTGCTTTAAATGGTTAAGTTCGCCACTACTTCAAAGACGAATCGATGAGAAAAGGTATCGCTTCGTCATTTAGGCTGTAGTAGATGGCCTCTAGTATTTACTCCTTTATTTGACATTAAGTGAGGGAATATATAGGAATATTGGGTTGCACTATGAATTGTACTCAATTATGCAGTTGGACAAGTTGTTTATGGAAAAGTATCTAATCGATAAACAATCGACGAAAAAGGTACAGAACAGAGAAAGGAAGAAACCTAAAAAAGGGCCGAAAGAGGGGAGCAGCTGAAGAAGAACGCTTGGAAAACAAAGAAAACACTTGTTGCCAGGAGAGGAAGAACGATAACGATGTTATCTGAGAAGAGAGACCTACTACACTGAATATTAAGAATATCAAGCCTGCAGTTATAAGACTTTAATAGATTCATTTATTACAGTTGTCAAAATAAATTGTTTTGTCACACAAGATTGAATAGTCCTTGTATTTAGTTGTCCTATAGGTCTCACAATTAAAGAATAACAAACCAGGTGAGTCAATTCATTCAAAGTGTATTTACTCAGTCCCACATTTCATATATATATTCTTATTATTTCTTGTCACTCAGTGTCACAAAAGTATTAGGTTCCCGAATTCCCAACAACAGTTAAACACCCTCAAAAAGCCGGGGTTTTGTTTTTGAGAAAATTAAATTCACGAGTGTAAATAACCTAGTCCTCTGACAAAACGGAAGAGATATTAACAATTGCTGCCAAACAGGTCATTTACAAACCCTTAACAGGTTATTTACAAGGCAATGTTTCCAGCAAAATAATAAAAACAATACATAATAAATAGTAAAAACAAGACTTACCTGTTGTGAGAGCTTTCCACATCCGAGGATCGCTTGTGAAATAGGTGGAGATAGCACTGCCGAGAGGAAAGAGTGCCAGAAGAAGGGAATACTGAGGAAATAATTGGATCATGCAGAAACTTTGTTGTTTTAATGAGCGCTACCTTTCCCGGGTAAACTGTGTAATAGGGTCTTTAATTAAGATTAAAAAAAAAAGGTTCGTCAAATTGTATTAATTTTTTATTTTAGAAAAATAAAAAGTATCTGTGTTGTACTATAACAATTATATATATTATATAAACAAAATACATGATAGTTAGCCGAAACATCCACCCTAATAACATGACCTGTGTGGACTCTTTAAGTCATTCCCGAAAGTAGACAGATTCAAATACCTCGGCTCCACAATAACCTCAGTAAATGATCAACTAACAGAGATAGACCAGCGAATAACAAGTGCTAACAGATCTTTCTTCTCTCAAGGGTACTGAAATCCAGAAAAATAAGGGTGTACACCGCCGTGATTAAGCCAGTTCTGCTGTACGGTTGTGAAAACTGGGCTCTAATTGCCACACTATAAGCTAGAATCGAGAGATTCAAAAGAAAAGTTCTGCATAGGATAACAGGACCTATATGGAACCAGAACCTTGACGCATGAAGGAGAAGGAACAATAAAGAACTGAAAGAAATGGGTCAGTCAATATCTCATGACATGAAGGCAAGGAGATTAAAATGGGCAGGGCATGTAGCTCATAACAATCCATCAGGATGCCTTTACACGACAATGAATGCCAGAGTAGTAGGCAAGAAACCTCGTGGAAGGCCAAAAACCAGATGGATAGATAGGATCAACAAAGATACGGCTGAGCTTCATGCCGCAAACTGGAAAGCAGTAGCCTAAGACAGGCAGAGGTGGAGAAGGCTGGTTCAGGCGGCCAAAGATCTACAAGGTCTGTAGAGCCAACCGAAAAAAAAAAATAAAAAACATGTAATCACAAACTTTTTTCAAGATACTTCTTTGTAGATACTGTACTTTTTCAACCTGTTAACAAAATACAAACTTATTTCTTACAACAGATTGATTTAGTTATCATCAACATCAATAAAAACTCTATCGTAACTTTTATTCTGTATCATTAATGGAAAAATGATTCTATTTTCTTTATCTTAAAAAATATTTTGCATATGGAGTTTATTTTTAAAACATTGAATCATAAGTTTTTATTTATTTTTTTAGGTATTTATGTACATCAAAAAGAATAAGATTGTCGGATGTGCTGTGGCAAAACCAGTCAGATATGCCCACCGGGTCTTGCCAAGTTTAGGTTAGTTTGTTCTGTTTGATCTTTTATGAATGGAAAATTTTATCATTTCTCTTATAGCTCTGAAATTTTAATTCATAACATTTTTTTTTTTCTAATTTACAGGGACTGATGCTGCTCTTTGCTCAGAAGAAGCATATCCAGTCTTGGTTGGGATTTCCCGCCTCTGGGTACATCCAGAGCATAGGCTCTCTGGAATCGCTTCGTGCCTTGTAAATTCAGTCAGGTAATTTTAATTTCAATAATATTCCTATACCTATTTTATGCAATGACCTATTATTTATTTATTTATTTATTTATTTTTTCTGTAGGAAAAACTACAACTTTGTTAAATATCTGAAGATAGATGACATTGCGTTCTCTTCGCCAACTGAAGATGGGAGGAGGTTCGCCGCAAAATATTGTAGAAGGGATGATTACTTAGTATACACTTACGAATAAAAGATTTTCAGATCTTGTGTTATAATACAAGTCTGGTAGGTTTTCTCAAAGAAAACAATCTATCAGTTTTCTTTAAGTACAAATCCAACTATTGTATTAAATGTCTTTATTATAGTATTTTTGTCAGATCTTCAAAATTTTTCGGATTGATGAATATTTAACATAATGATGTAGAGATGGTTGACCGTTGATATAATATGAGAAGGAGTTAGTCGAGGGTGCGGTAAAATAAATAAAAAAATTAAAATATATAAATTATTTTAATTTTTGCCGACGTTTCGACCCACTTTGCAGGTCGTCTTCAGGGCGTAGGATGTGGCACTGCAGGAGGCAGTTGAAACACTGGCCTCAGTATTTCAACAGTTTATTTGGCCAGTGTTTCAACTGCCTCCCGCAGTGCCATATCCTACGCCCTGAAGACGACCTGCAAAGTGGGTCGAAACGTCGGCAAAAATTTAAAATAATTTATATATTTTAATTTTTTTATTTATTTGACCGCACCCTCGACTAACTCCTTCTCATAATATAAAGTTTTTTTTTATTAAACAATTTAATAACATTTCAACACTAAGTTATCTTATACAATATTTTGTTTATTACTTTATTTCATTCTAATTATTTTATTGACGAATGTAAATTTGTTCTTACATGTAATCTTTAGTTAGGATTTTATACCAAATCAACAATTAATTTTAAGAGAATGAATTGTTGTTGCGTATCTTTCTTATAATGTATAAATAGTACAATTTCAAGGTATTGCTCTGTATGATTTATTTAGTGATATATTATTATTATTATAATAATTAACTTTTTTTAAATCATAAGGTGACTTTAAATTATGCTACTGTTACATTTAAAGAATTCTGCTCCTTTTCATCACTAATTTAATCATATTTTATGATACGAAGTTATTTTAATCCTATTAGTTATCATGTCTTAAAAAAAAAAAAAAATGTTTATACAAGTTTTTTGTCTTTTCAACTTATTTTCATTCTTTTAAATTTTTATTGTTGAATATTAAGTTAAGATTAAGTATTTATATATTTCCCCTATTCCCAATTGAACATTGTTAACATCACATTGATTTTTTTACTTCTTTAGATATAATTGTAGTTTTTTAATAGAATTTATTGATGTAATTTAAGTTTTCTAAAAAGGGCCCAAATGAATTTAGTTTTCACTCCCATTCATGTTCATATGTATGTAGTTGTTTTTTTTCTTCTGAAGAACATTGATTGAGGATCTGCCAAAAATACGTTCTTTGTGGGCCAATGTATTGTATTATTTTTTAATTTATTTTGTATGTTTCTTGTACATTACCTTTTATAAATATATTGAGATATTTTTCTGTACAGTTTGTACACTAAACACATGTACAATATTAGTATGAAAGGTTTATATTTTTCTTTATTGTATTTATGTATATGTAACCTTATCTTTGTGAAGTTACCCTTGTTACATTATGGTTCTTTTTCTTTTTTCAATGAATATTTGTAATTATAGAATAATTAAGATGTGATCTACAGGTTTTTTAGTGCACTTAATAAAGTTTTTTTTTGCAAAGTAATGTTATTAATCTTATTTTCTCCCAAATAAAAATATTACCCTGCTTCAAGGCCATCAGAGGATAGTGAGTATGAATTACAATTCAAATTGTATTTGTTTAAACAATATATATGTTTTCAGAGTACTTAAAGCACTATTTCGAGGATTTCTTATTGTGTATATACACAATTAAATGAACCTATTTAATATGCAAACTGCTGCATATCAATGCAAGCATTATTATTTCTGTAATACAATTATTAATAACAGTTAGTCGACAAATAATTTTTTATTTACTTGTCAGACCAAATATACAATAAGTCTGAACATTATCATCATCGAATTTTAGTCCATTTAAACGGTAGTTGTAAGTGGAAAGAATTTAAATAGATTTCTTTGTGGTTCTGTTTTATTCGGTGTGTTAAATCTAAGTCAGAAGTTAGCGAATTCAAGTTCTCATTTCATTACAAAATTTATGCAAAAAAAGTATCAAAATGTTCCCACTTAATCAGTTTTTGAAATGTGACTGAAACTATGTGTTTTATCGTAAATTTTATTCTCTTCAAATTTAATAAGAATTATCTTTAGAAAGAAGATAGAATTTACCGTGAAGTTTATACCTCATTTGATGTAGGATCAATGGGTGAGGAATGAGAAAAATTTGACTAACAGTCATAATTTTAATATTTAATTCGACAGCATAAGTTATATTTTGTGCATAGCATAATAATAATATTAAAAATTTCCATCCACTGATTGCTGTTTAAACCCAATCGCGGTAGATTAGTCATAACGCAATCTTCCCACCTTTGCTTCGGTCTGCCCTGCCAAAACATTGTATGGCACGTATGTTAGGAAGAAGGGAAAAAGTAAAGAAAGATCAAGTATTGAAGGATTGTATTGAAACATGTTAAATCATAAAGTTTAATATTCTCAGATCTAGCAGAATCGGGTTTGTTGATTCAATCCATTTGTTCTTTGTTGATTCTATTCCATCTATCTGCTCTTTGGCCTTCCATGTGGTCTTTTATTTTCAATTGAGGCATTCATTGTTATGTAGAGACTTCCAGATGGATTGCAAGCCACCCATCTTAATCTCTGTGCCTTCATATCATGGGATATTGATAAACCAGTTTCTGTAAGCACTTCCTTATTGGTCTTTCTCCTCCATGTGTTAGTGCTCTGGTTATCATGAAGAGGAATTTTCTCTGAAATCCTTCATACTTTTTTCTAGGATGCTGGTTAGTATCCAGGTCTCGTAGACATTTATTAGAACTGGTTTTATGTTTGCATTCTACACTCTTAATTTGAGATTTTTCTGCATTTTAATACTTTTGAAAGGGAGAAGAAAGCTCTGTGCTAGTTATAGGATCCTCTATTTCTGACCTTCATGGATTATGGAGTGAAGGTGTATGAATTTTTCTACTCTGGAGAATGATTTTCTTTCTATGCAGATCCTGTTATTGTGGTGGGATTTTCTGTTTTTTTTTCATATATTTAGTTTTGCCTTCATTTACTTGTAGGCAGATCTTCTCTGCCTCTCTTATCTGAGTATTAGCGAATTTCTCAATGTCCTCTTGAATGTCGCTGTTAGTTAATTTAAATAATTGATGCGTACATTGAAGTAGTAATTAAATTCTTTGGTACTCAAAAAAGGTCAGTATTTCAGTAAAATACATGGTACTGAGGATTCAGAGCAGCATTCTCCCATCTCTGAGCTGCATCCATCCACGGAGCACCGACTTCAAGGGGTGGCCGTAAAGAGGTGCTAGCCACTTGTTAAAAATTAAAAAAATAATACAAAACGTATTAAATAATTAAGTTTAGCCTATCAATAAAAGAACTGTATCACATAAATGTTGAATGAATTAAAATCCAAATATTATATAATAAAAAATAGCTAAAGAAATAAATTTAGTTTTTTCAGAGGGGAAGATGACGTCATTGCTCGGGGAGCACCGAATGTCTAAGGCCGGTAACATCCACTGACTAATGTGATTATGTATATTATAGCTGAATAATATGGTGTGATTATGTATATTAAGGACTGAATGGAGGTTATCTGCCAAATAATATCCCTGAATCTAAAAAAGCTATTTTTTTATGAATAGAAAACATACACTGACAGGCAAAAAATTCCAACCACTTGTTACCCATTAAGGAACCACGTAGGAAAGGTTAGCTCTGGGAAAAATTTCAGGCTGCATATCTTTCGTTTCTTCTTCTCCACGCCCGTCTGGAGATCGAAGAGCGAATCTGGACTCATCTGTAAAAAGTACAGCACTCCATTCGTCCATAGTCCAATGGCTGTGTTATCGAGCAAAAACCATCCGTGTTACTCTGTGAGTTCTGGTCAACTCTGGTCCTCTTACTGGACGAAAAGCCATTAATTCATACTCATTTAATCTTCTCCGAGCGGTACGTTTCAGAAATTTGCACATCTCGAACTTCTTCGAGCTGATGAATCGCTTGAACGACTGTAAGGTGCCGGTTTCGTAAAATTCTTTAAGTCAAAAACCGGTCATCCCGTGGTTCTGTTACCCTAGGCCGTCCAGAACCGGGCCTTCTATTGTAAGAACCAGTTTCCCGAAAACGCCTGACGTCGTTTCATATGGAACGCCGATGGCATTAGCTGCATATCTAATGGAACGTCCATCATCAATAAGTGCCACACCACGCGCGACATCATCAGAACTAAGAGGCATTTTTAAACTTAATATTGAAAAAATTAAAAGCCGGAGACTAAGAAATGTGCTGCAAAAAACGGCACTGAACTAATGATACTGAATAAATATTTTGATTCCATAGAAAGTAAACATTGGAATCTAGAATCATTTCATTGAATTAAGGGTTAAGGGTTATTGCCCTCTATATTAACATTCCTAATTGAAAACAAATAAAAAGATTACCTATTTATTCATTAAAAACAATAGATCAATCCAAAGCAGAAATATTTTTAGATTAAAACATGAAAAAATAAAGTGGGTGGAATTTTTTGCCTGTGAGTGTATATTAACCCATAGTTTGAAGTAATTTTTTTCAGCATAGGAAGTAAGTGATAACTGGGAAACCTCACTCTATGTGCAGGGCACATTGATTTTAGAACATATTGAAAATTTAATATATTTTTGACGGTTAAATAACCATTTGAGTTTTAATTCCTTTCACATATTAACTGCGGCCCCTTAACTCCCAAACAGATTTTATCTTCTTAAATAAAAAGTGCAGCTTATTTTTTTTCACAGTCCATTACGTATGTTTCGAAAAGTAAATAAATTTGATGTCACTTAATATATTATGTCAAATTAAATTATAAATAATTTTTATTAAGGATAAGTTTATTCTTATGGGATTATATTTAACTTTAACTCATAATTATATCCTTCTCTCATTATTTTTCATCATAAAATTTTAGTACACTTTTGAGAATTGCTCTTCTATAAGTCTTTCTACAAAAAACATTTTTTTTTTTTTCATTTCGAAAAACAAACATTATTAGATTTATAACTATTTTCGCACCTTTTAGTTATTTTCATGGATGTAAGAATTGATTCAGCGATGTGAATAATTAAATGGATTTAAAGTGATAAATAGAATAGAAAAGTGATAAATACATGAAAGCAATAAGTGCTACAGGCATAATATTTACATATTTATATACGTCTATGATTTAGAAAAGGTTATTTTTGTCTGATTGTTAAACCAGAAATATTTAGTAATATATTTAAAAAATAAAAAAAACATTGAACGTGCAATTTTCAACTGAAACATATAAGTTTTGTACTCATATAAGGATGAATTTTACGTACAGAATGAAATATTCAATAGAGTTAATCGTATAAAAAGTTATTACAAATCGCAAAAAAAAATTGGTAGTTCTAAAATAATTATAACTTCAATATATTCCAAAGAGAGTTAAATTTTGCTTTTTCGTAAAATTTTATTTGTTGATAGTATTTTGAAAACTCGAGTTCTTTAGTATAAACTTAGAAACCTTAAACTTGGTGAACAATATATTTCTCTTTGTTATGTTTCTAAAACCTGTTTCGTATTACCTTCAGCGTTTTATTTACATTAGGAGAAGATATTTTCTATTTCCTATAAAAGTATTCGATTATCATTTCTTGTGATATTTCTTTCCAATATAATTGTTTGTATGGGAAAAAGGAAAGAAATGGATGATCCATCATCTGCACCTGGTAATACAAATGTTTTTTTGTTTTTTTAAAAAACCTGTTAAATTAAAAAGAAAAACATCAAACATTCTCATGTGATGGTATGTTCATTGCTTTTGCATACTTTTAGGCTCATTACCTGATGAAATTCCAAAGAAACATAAAAAACACAAGCATAAAAAGCACAAAAAGAAGCGGACTGACTCTGATGCGTCCGGTGATTCAAATAAGGCTAAAATTCCTGTAATGAGTGCAATTGAGAATCCATTAGAAAGGTAAGGTAACTTTTTTATTTTATATTTATGTTATTGATGATCTATGCAATGAACTATGTGTGTTTTCAATGTTCATTAAAGCCCTATGAAAACACCCGATCAGAAAAATGCTGAAACACCAAAATCAAGTTCCAAAAAGAAAAAAAGTAAAGGAGGAAAAGAAAGTGGTACTTCAAGTGATGAAGAACGGTGGCTTGATGCGATACAATCTGGAAAATTGGAAGAAGTAAGCTCTGAACTGTTTCGATTACTACTAAACGTGTATTTGGATTAATTTTATTTACTTATATTTTTTTCCATTCTACCAAAGTTTCTTTTAATGAATTGAAAGATAAACTACGAACGTAAACTCTTAAAAGATTTTGATATGTTATAGGTTTATTTTATGATGAATTTCTAGTGTATTTACTTGTTTACCTTCTCATACCACTAAGCCATATACAGTAGTGGGATGTTAAGCATGCATCCTTTACAAACTGCTGTAAGTTGAGAAATTGAGTTAATTTTTCTATGGTTCTCAGTAATAAATGTTTTTAAAAAAAATTTCTGTTTATGATATTTAATTGATTTTTTGATGTTTCCGACTACTTTGGCACATTAGACAGACGCTCGTAACTTCCAATAAACTATAAATGGCTTATTTACTTGACTATAATCTACTGTAAGGCCAATTTGTTCTTACGGAGTTGAGCTTTGGGGTTCTACTAAGCTATCAAATTCCTCTCATATCCAATCCTTATAATCCAAAATCTTTCATAAAATCATCAATGCTCCCTACTTTGTCACAAATAAAATTATCCATAATGAACTTAACGTTCTATATGTTACCGACAGCCCAATCTATATACCTATCCTACCATAATAAACTTCAGACCCATCCAAACCTACTTGTTTCTAACCATCTTCTTCAATTCCTGACAATCCGCCTAGGCTTCTGAAAAGAAGATAGCATCGGGACCTTCTAATATAGGGATATAATTGGAGTGCTACCATTTATTTCCTGAAGTATTTTAAACTGTAGACCTCTCAGCAAGACTTTTTCTATCTCTTAAAAAACATTGAATATGTAAAAAAAAAATTTGTTGATTAATTTAGGTTGATGATGAATTGAAAAAGATCAAACCGAAAGATCCCAAATTAATGACCGCAAGGCAGAGGGCGATGCTTGAGAGGAAAGGTGACGCTGTCCCGGATCCAGCTGCCGAGCAGTTACTTTCTCTTCCGACAGGTTCGATTTTTGATTTTTAGGTTTAATATAAACTTTAAAAAAAATATATTCACATTTATCAAAAGTTGTATAAATCTATAAAAAAAATTAAATCTTCAGTTATTTTGTTGTTTTTTCTCTAGAAGCTATATTATATTAATGATGTAGAGATGGTTGACTGTGATATAATATGAGAAGGAGTTGATCAGTGGGTGCGGTCTAACAAATACCAAATTATATAAATAGTATTATTTAATTATAATGCCGACGTTTTGACCCACCTTGCAGGTCTTCATCAGGGCTACGAAAGATACAAAATATGAAAGGACATGGTGAAAACGAAATAAATGAATTATAAGTTGATATTAAATAAGAAAAAGTTGTCTGATAAAGAAATAATAAGATAATATCAGAAATATAGTGGGTGACAGTGTAGTTAAAATATCAAGTATTATTTATATAGAAGCTACAAACAAAAATAGAAAATAAGTATGAATGGAAATAGAAAACAAAGCTATATTCTCCTTTGTTTTCTATTTTCATTCATAATTATTTTCTATTTTTGTTTGTATCTTCTTTATAAATAATACTTGATATTTTAACTACACTGTCACCCACTATATCTTTGATATCATCTTATTATTTCTTTATCAGACAACTTTTTCTTATTTAATATCTACTTATAATTCATTTATTTCATTTTCACCATGTACCTTTCATATTTTGTATCTTTCGTAGCCCTGATGAAGACCTGTTAGGTGGGTCGAAACGTCGGCATTACAATTAAATAATACTATTTCTATAATTTAGTATTTATTTGACCGCTCCTCCTCCTCCCCCTCCCAATCAGCTCCTTCTGGTATATTATATTATTTCTGATAATGTTTCCGCATCTTCCAGAGAAATTTTTTTCACTAATTCCAGATCTTATGAACAACGAATTTTATTCAGAGGTTGAAACTTAGATGGAACTTTTTTAAAATAAAAGTTCTAAGGAACTTTTTTTTTAAATCTAGGCTCAATCCCTAAAAATTTCATGAAAATTGGACAAGATAGAAATACAACAACATTGGGTACTTGTCCATTAGCCGGACGGAATGAAACCTCCCTTATTATCTATGTTATCTAACGTTACGTCACATAACCTCCCTCTTCTTATCTCGCAAAACCTTTCAGTTATTGCATTGTTTATTTTTCAGTTATTACATTGAGTTATTCACTTATTACATTCAGTTATTAAATTGTTTATTTTTGGCCCGTTTGTATTTTTTTCGTCAAAGTATGGATCTTGTTACATTCTGGGAATTACCGCCTTCAGAAGAACAGGCTATCGAATATTTTCAAAATGTTGGGATAATTGCAAACGTGAAATTGTGTGAACAAGGTCATCAAATGAAGTTAGACAGGGGTTGTATATCAAACTATTTTGCCTACCAAAATAAATAAGATGAAGTGAAAATAAATTGTACATATGTCGTTTATAGTGTTTATATTGTTTCTTTTATATTTACATATGTTCTTTAAGTGTTTTTTTTATTATTTCATTTTCATCTTTTATATGTACATATGTTGTTTAAGTGTTTTTTTATTATTTAATTTCTTTTATTATTACATTTATTTTTGTCTATTTCATTTCTTATATATGTATATGCCTTATATATGTTTTATGCCTTGTATATATAAAATTAAAGTGTTTTCTGACTGTTGTGGGAATTATCACATTTCCTACATATATATATATATATATATATATATATATATATATATATATATATATATATATATATATATATATATATATATATATATATTATATTATATTTATCATATAATATATATATCAGATCAGATATATATATATTTCATGTATATACAATTGTAATAATAAAAAAATGTAATAATAATAAAAAAAAAAAATATATATATATATGTATTTAATATATATATCGTAAAATAAAAGTATTTTTTTATTATTACATTTGTTTTTGTTTATAATTTCAATAATACGAATATAATACAATAAATATGAATACGAAGATAGGAATTAGGAGAAGGCTTATCAGTGCCTTATCAGAATTATCAGTGTTAAAGTTATAAACATTGGCAGATAGCAGTCCTTTCCGCCCGGCTAATGGACAAGTACCCAACATTGCATGGCTGCTCAACTGTGTTGAGTTGCTAAATAACACAACTAAACTCATCAATCAATAGATAATACTTAGAAAAATATAAGAGTGAGTTAGGTCGGACCATTGGAATAGATATCAGATATACCAATAATGGTTTATAGAAACAAATAAGCGAAGGGATAGATCAATATATGTGGTGACAGAGGATCCCCAACGAATCTAAAAAATAGTTTCTGTCATGGTCTGCATCTGCTCTCTTCCAAAACTGAGCCTCTGCAAGAAATTACTAGTATTAAGAGGGATGCTTCCCCTTCTTCCAAACCATAGCCCTTTAACTGAGAATTCTCTCTCGCCGAATTTATCTCTGTACTTTTCGTTCAGGTAAGGTACGCATTTCGTAGAAATTTTCTATTTCTCTGCCTGTTCCTTGAAGTCCTGATCCTGATCGTGGGATCCATTATGAGTGCCTCGTTTTCCGTTGTCCGTTGCCGAAATGTCAACGAATCTTGTTGAAACTGTAATTTCAAAATAACATACATTATGATACTTTGTTCATAATATTATTGTAATGAAATTAACTCCCATTTGGATTATTTCATTAGCTAATTGTTTTAATTAAAAAAAAATGAAAATTCCAGGTTACCGTGAAAAAGTAATGACCCCGGAAATGATTAAGAAGGCAGCTCTTAAGTCTCAAAAAAGGAAGCAGTTGATGGATGAAAAGAGAGAAAAAGATAAGGTGACTATTTGTAATAATGATTTAATTATTTTTTTCCTTTTTAAAAATATAATTTGAAATTACTGTTTGAGTTTTGATACATGTGGTAGGATTTGTGTATTAATTTATAGATTATAAATACTACATTATTTGATAACTTATATATAAACATTTTTATAAGTGAAGTTGGTTAGGGATTGTAGTCACGGGAGTACACAAAAATAAATTATATTTATTTTCTTTGTGCCAACGTTTCAGGCTAAGTTTTAGGCCTTTATCAGGGCTAAGCAAAGGCCAGATAACAAATAAATATTGAGAAAATAAAAGAAAATAATAATAATAATATGTAGATAAAATAGTATAGTAAAATAATATGTAGGTAGTTAAATTTAAAACTAATGAATATATGGAATAGAAAATTTATGATATATAAATTTAGGAAGTGACAAAGTAATGGTAACAAAACAGAGACTTATAAAGTATCAGTAACAGATTTGAACAGTTGTAATATAATAACGGTAACAAAGTTTGAAACTTACGAAATAATTAATCAACTATAGGCAATTACGCTGGCACAGCTTCTTGTTAATATTGTTTACAATCAATATAACTTAAGCGCAGGGACCAACTTTTAAGCATTTTGGAAGTATTTTAAGAAAAGACAGTTTTTCGTACATGGACAACTATATTTTGCCTTATTTAGTTCGGGTTGCTAAAGAAAATAATATATACTTATACTACATGGAGAAGAAATAAGAATATCTTTAGGTTTTCTGATGTTCTATAAGAATTGAAATATTATAAAAAATTAATAAATTAGAATTAGACATTATAAACTTACAATGACTGGATGTCATAAATAATTATCACTTTGCTTTAACATTATGAAACAAATTGTCTATCTTTTATCATTTATTACGTTCTATTAACTAACTGTTGATAATTTCTTTCAAAAAAAGATTTTGTTTTATTGCTGTATTGTGTTTTTTTAAGTTTAACTAACAATTAATTATAATATAATTACTACTACTAATAAATATACAGTTTAGTGGTAAATCCCATGCTAAATGTTTGTATCTTTGTTTGACAGAAACGTACGATGGAGAGGCTTTTGAGAAAGCAAGACAACAAGCAATCGAAACAAGCGGTTAAGAAGGCGGTAAAGAGAAGTGGTCTGTCGATCTGCTATCGCAATAATCAAGAAGGAATTACAATAACATTACCTCCTGGAATGGAATTTCCTCTGAAATCTCAGACTGAGTAAGTTTTTAGTATTATTTTATTTTTTATGTATTGAGAAGTCTCTTTTGACCGAGTGTAAGTGAGTTTAACAAGCCTTCTTCAAGCGACTATTTTTTCCACTTTATTTCTATCAGTCTACTTAGAGCCAGCAAAATGGCACAAATTTCACTTTCAAAATTCGAAGCCTATTTCCCGACTGACTCTGAAATTTAGAAAGTGATAGAAATTTCATCTGCACCACCATTACTCATAATCCCTTCTGCAGATCCATCCATGTAAACAAGTATCCAAGGTAGACTAGGGAACTTAGTTTGTTTGTTAAGGGACTCTAAATTAATTAAACTCTTATATTTAATCTTCATATGATTATTTATTTATCAAAACCCTTTTTTAATCTCATAAGTCTTTTATTTTACATTTAAAAATTATTATTGTTTAACGTTTCGACTCCAAGAGCTAATGAGGGTGATCAAAAATTAATAGAAATTTAAGATAAAAAGTTTTTTATTTCTTATTTTTAGGTCTTTTTTTTTTTTTCAGCAATTAAATAAATTTTGCCCAAATAAAGATTTGTGAAATAAAATAGTGTTTTTGGATTTATAAAAATTTTGTTTTAAATTATTACACTTTAAGGGAGTTGTTAAATTACAGGATGAATTTTTTGATAAAATTAGATGAAGAGAAATTTTGTGGAATTTCGGAATAAAAATAAAACAAAACATTTTATTTATATTTAATAAAACAATTACTACCATTGAGTAGTACTCTGTATACATATATAATTTAGGAATTTTTTTTAGAAATATTGTTATAGAAATGTTTTATTTTTTTTAAAAAAGAAAAAGAATTTTTGAAAATGGCTCGTGCAACCGAAAAATTAAAAAATAGTAATTTTTAAATCTTTGTAAACATGTAAAATAAAAGACTGGAATTAAAAAAGGGGTTTTGATAAATAAATAATCACGTATAGATTAACTATAATAAGTCTTGCTGAAACCATTCGTTTGACCAGAAGAAGGCCTAAACTTTGGGCCGAAGCGTCGGCAAAAATTAAAATAAATATACTTATTCATTTTCACATTTTTTTTTTACTGATCATCCCAACCAATCTTTGATTCAATTAAATTTAATATTTATCAAAAAATCTCTCAAATAAATATGAATAACCTAAATAAGGTTGTTTGTCATAAATTAAACTCTTTTTTTTCTTATTTAAGATGTATATTATTTTTAAATGTATTATTTAACTTGTATCTTTCCATACTATATTACATTTGAAATTATATCACAGAATATCAACTCATTCCCAATTATAATTATTATTTTTCAGGGCATCTCCTCCGCCAGTCATCAGGTGTGCCATCAAAGGTTGTAAGAACCCAAAGAAATATTCTTGTTCGAAGACCAATGTACCGCTATGCAGCCTCGAATGTTACAAGAAAAACTTGACAACTGCTCCTCAAGTTTCGATTATGAGAGTATGTTAATACTACATTACCTGTTCCTAATTAGTTTTAAAGAATTCGTCACTGATAATTGTTATAGTTAAATTGATTTGTGTAAATATTTATGTATATTAATGTGTATTTATTGAATGTTTATTACTGTTTTATATTTAAATTTATATGTATATTGAATGAGTTATTGAATTTATGTAAATATTGTAATAAATTATTATAGATTTTTCATATTTGTTTTTTCAACATTTAAGTTGTCCATGAATATATTCAGATACTCATCTAGGATAATTCTGACTCCTCATATAATAATTGTATAGATAATTTTACAAAAAATAAACATTTTTTATAATTTATATAAACATTTTCCCTCTACTTATAGGACACCCTGTAAATGGGTGTAGACATGTCAAAAACTAAATTGCTAACATGGGTCACCAAGGGAAAACTTTTTACAGCCAAAAAATCCAGATTTATCTGATCTCTTTTTTTTTTTTTTCATGTATTACTACTAAACATTGCATCAAACAGAAAAACGCATTCTTTGAGAAATTTCAGAACGTCAAATTGTACGTCGAATGAGTACCTGAACTTAATAATTTGATTAAATGATATGTTCAATAGCCAGGGTCAGTCAATGCTAATTTTTATTAATATTGTCAAAATCTGAGACTATAAATAAATGGCCCTACAGCTTGGAAATGGAACTACTCTAACAAAAAAACTCACAATAATTTCCGATTCTGATCAAATCGGAAACCAAATAATTAGCACCTTCCTTCATGGAAACGTTCCCAATAGCAGCTACTTAAAGAATAGAACAACACTCTAATCAGAAATATACAAATTATTATCGTAACCAGTTTTATGAATTCTGCAAGTAGACTATAGTTGCACACAAACGGACTTCTTTGATAAAAATACGACATCCTGGAAAAAGCACACAACAATTATTTCTCAGCCGACATACTAAGAGCTCAACTAACTACCCATTATACAGGATACTATGCAGTTACAATGCTCCCGATCCCGAAACGTACCTTACATTCAAAGACCATATAAAGAAATTGAGATGTGTCAGTCAATTAAGAATGGCAAACCCAGAACATATCAGGATCTATGCAAAAACCACAACTTTTTCGATTGAGTCTCAAGAAACTTGTATATCATGCAGTCAATTTATCTATAATAACCTACATCATATTCTCCTTCACTGCCCAGCGTAGAATGACTATAGACAAAAATTCCTTCAAAACTTCATCTCAGAATCTTCTGATAACCACAACATCGAAACTATATTGAATATCGATTGTATAGATAAGTTAAATAAAGTTTACTATTATATGATGGGAGTACACAAAGTGCATACACAAAATTGTTGATTATAGCCCATGTTCAATTAAGTTTGTTTTTAGTTTATCTTAAAAGTAATATTTTGTTTATATATATAAATATTTTTATTTTTTATTGTTTCTACCATAGTAACAGGTTCATATAACTATTATTATGCAGTAATCGTTTTTTGTTTTTAATTTCTATTGTTACTCATGTTTTGTAAAACCCATTCTACACGTAAAAATACTGTAAATTTTATTTATTTTTAAATGATATGTATATATCACAATAGCCAAGCTAGGTTCTATTAGTATGGGGAACCCCCCCAAAACAAATAAATTTCTATCTATCTATAATTGCTGGAAGTTGCAATTACTGAACTAGAGGTATAGAAACAAATGGCCAATATGGTGAAATATAGGTTTATCTATTTTTTATAGGTCGAAATTTGTGTATAGGCTGATGCGTAGATGGTATATTTATCCTTTTATTTAGCAATAAGTAAGATATTCTAAGTGAAACTGCACAATTCTTGACGAAAAAAGCGAAAAAAAAAGGCCGATATATCGGCCATATCGGCCTTTGTAGTATCGGTATCGGCCAAAATTTCGATATTGGTCAATCCCTATCCAGTACTGGCTTAAGCGATGATATCGTGCTGGTGGCTGACTCTGAAAAGGCCCTTCAGGCATCCTTGGATGAATAGAAACTGAAGATAAGAGGTTTACAAATAAACTCTAACAAAAGTAAAATCATGTGTGGAAAGAGAACATGCAGAGTGAGAAAACGTACAGACACAGATTTTGTATAATGGTAAATCCCTAGAACTTACGAATACTTATACGTATCTAGGGATCATAACAACTAAAGATGGTAAAATAGACCAGGAGGTCCTATATCGAGTGAAGAACGCCAATGGATTGTGCCATCAGATTTCCAAAATTGTTATAGGCAAGCAAGAAGTAGTAGACATACGAAAATATGGATATTTAAATCCGTGTACCTCCGAGATCTCCTATATGGATCATAAAACAGGACAGCTCTCGACAAGCACATAAGTAGGATAACATCAGCAGATCTATTAGAACTAAATAACAACTGGGTCCGAGAGAAACTCTGTATTTTTTTGGGCTCGAATAAAAGGTTGGTCGAAAGAATAAATGAAGTTCATTTTGTTTTTTAAAATTAATTTTCCTTCATCATGTATTTCACCTGCGAGAATCAGTGGGAACAAACTGCAACAAGAACACAAACAGCTGCCCCAAAACTACATCACTTGAACCTGCGAGTCGACTTTTGCTCTTACATTGTATTCTTTGTTTCACAAAATCTCACTGTACACCAAAGGCTGGGCGCAATTGATCCACAGCCTTATGAGCTGACATAATATGACAAACAGTAAGACTAATTAATTAAAATGGTCATGATAATAATTTTTTTAAATATTACATTAGAAAATTCGTCTACGAAAATGAATTCTTCCTATATTTCTCTTTTCTTTAAATAGCTGCTTTTTGGAACTTTTTCGAGATTTTTGTCCACCATCCAGAGAGAGGGTCGCCACCTGGCAGAATGCTCTAGTGCTGCTCACAACAATAATTTTTTTAATATTTTACTTGAATAAATTTGATTATATATTTCTCTTTTCATTAAACAGCTGCTTAAAGTATCAGTTTTCGAAAGGAAGGTTCTTCCGAAGATATTTGGACCAGTTAAGCAGAATGATGAATAGAGAAATAGATGCAACCAAGAACTAGCCAACCTATACAAGGAGCCGAATGCGGTGAAATATATCTGGATAGCAAGGCTGAGATGGGAGAGCCAAGTTGTACGGATGGACGAGAGCTCAATCCCACAGAAGGTGCTGAGCATGAATCGGTTGGAAAAAGAAAAGTGGGCAGACCGAAACTGAGATGGAAATACGGAGTAAGTGCTGATGCCAGAATCGTTGGAATCAATAACTGGTGGAGGCTGCTGAGGACAGGGAAACATGGAGGAAAACAATTGAGGTAGCCAAGATCCAGTAATGAATTGTCGGGCTTTGGATGATGATGATCACATTAGAAAATTTGTCTTAGAGGACGATTTTTTCCTTTATTTCTCTTTTCTTTAAATAGTTATTTTTTGGAACTTTTTTCGGAATTATTTTGACTCTATCCAAAGGGGGGTGCGCCCCCTGTCAGAAATCACTAGTGCTGAACATGATAATAACTTTTTTACTTTCCTACCTATACGAGGTAAGGAAAGTATTGCGATCGGTTCAAATTCCCGATATGCGGTTTTCGACGGATTTCCCTGAGTCCGAAAACACATTTTTAGCCGTTGGTCTATCTGTCTGTGCCAAGATTTTCTCAGGAACTACTGAACCGATTTTGTTGCTTATTTTTTTGTAGGGTTTTGACTACTGATGCCTGTGACAGGAATTCGGTGCTCCATGCGCAATAGCTTGCGCGCAATAAATGAAAAACACGTTTTTCTATATACTGTAGCGCGAAAACGGATCTAACGATTTTGATGAAACTTTCCTATAATGTTCTTATAATTGTCCTTTCAATTTTCATATATGGACTGAATTCCTGAGAAAATTCAGGAAAAAAAGTTATAAAGAAAAGAAAAATGTTTTGGAGCCTAACTCGCTATGTGTATATTAAACGGTATAATTTATAATAAAACTTTTGAAAGGTAATTAAATTAGCCCCCCCCCAAAAAAATACGAATCGAAACATTATTAGCGATGATAGAGCTTATTCTATTTTCTACACGTTTTAATTTATTACTTTCCTACCCATACTAGAAAAGGAGAGTATTGTGATCGGGTCAAATTTCCGATATGCAGTTTTCGACGAATCTATACGTTTCAGTCCTGAGAACACATTTTTAGCCATTGGTCTGTCTGTCTGTCTGTACCAAAATTTTCTCGGAAACTACTGACCTTGGCTTCCAGGCAGGAGAGAGGGGGGGGGGGCTGCATCTATCGCTGCTGGTTAGAACTGTCACATCACTAGCGGATCCAGGATTTAGTTCTGGGGGGGCTTCAGCCCGAAAGCGTTTTTTTTCGTAAAAATAACGATAATTACTTTGGAAAAGATAAAAGATACTAACTACCTGTACTAACTACCTGTATTACCATTTTGGGGGGGGGGGGCTTCAGCCCGAAAGCCCCCCCCCCCCGTAGATCCGCCCGTGTGTCACATAGCTAATGACAGTTGAATTATTTTTCAACTAATGACACTAAAATTCATTTAGGACATAAATAAATTTGTTGTGAGTGATTTCGGAGTGAAATCTCAGTATACCCAAATTTGTTAGTTAGGACCTTTTCAAACTAAGACTACGAATTGGTTATTAAAATTTAATAGAATTTTTTGTTTTTAAAGGATCGATTTGGTCATTTCTAAAATTATTTTTTAATATCTAAAAATCTTATCTAAGTTAATTTTCTGAAATTCATTTATCATGGTTTCAATAGCTATCGACTACTATGTTGTTCTTTTTACTTATCTCATGATTTGCTAAAATTTATCCTATTTCGTTGTTTTGTATTGAATTGATTTAATAAATTCCTTGAAAAAAATAATTAATATTTGCTCACCTTCTTATCTTGCTTTGTGATTATTTACAACAAGGTGGCGGTGAAATGAAACTTGTGTTGATTAAAAATTTTATTCCCGGATCATAAAAGATATGTAGATAGA